GACTAAAATTTCTTTATCCTGATTGGTCAAATTTCAATCTTGAATCTTGAATCTCAATCTTCAATGCGTAGTCTGATACGGGCATTACGACTGCATTGTAGACCCCGCATAAAGGCCCGTCTACAATGGCAGTAACAAGGCTGTAGGAGTAGGAGAGTATACTGTTTTTAGTGATGTTTAGACGGGGAGTAACGAAATGGGCAATTTCCATTTGCTCTTAAAAGTATACTCTCCTACTCCTACAGCCTTGTTACTGCCATTGTAGACGGCCCTTAAGGCCCTTGCACAATGCCAGGCAACAAACAATAGGAACAGGAAATAGAAATTATCCACCAATAGGAGCAGAGAATAGATATTATTCCCTGTTCCTATTGGTGGATAATTTCTATTTCCTGTTCCTATTGCCTGTTCCTATTCCCTTTAAGGGCCCGGGCACATAAAAAAACTCAAGCAGTAAGACTTAAGACTTAAGAATTTCAACCATACGGAATTATCAGCGTAGCTTACGTTTCAATATGGCTGCCTTACTGTTCGACCGTGATTGGTCAATTCGCTTACGTCTTAAGTCTTATGGCACCTTTACATGGCAGCATTAAGGTGCCTTTACATGGCAGCGTCAAGCGTCAAGCGTCGAGCGTTGTCGAATGTTTGCGCAGAAAACTGCGCAGAATTTAAAAGAGATAGATTCTAGGCTGAAATTAGATTTTGCGCAATTTTCTGCGCAGACGCTCGACGCTTAACGCTGCCATGTAAAGGTACCTTTACTGCTTAAGTTTTTTTATGTGCCACGGCCCTAAAACGAGCGTTCCATGAATTCGCACCTTTACCTTTAGATGAACCGACGGTTAAAATTAGCAGGGTGGCCAACAGAAAATAGAGATGAAGGAAAACCAAGCATTCATATCATTTCAGTTGGAACCCTGCTAATTTTAAACGTCGGTTCATCTACCCTATGTTCCGATTCCCCACCCCAGTGCACATATTATAGTATACGTGACATATACTAGTCGTGTTCCGAAATTCACTACTAGTACTGGAAATCTATAATATATGTTACGTGAACTATAGATTTTCAGTACTGGTAGTGAATTTTGGAACACGACCACTATAATATTGGGTGCACCCGAATGGGGAATCGAAACACAGCATAAAGGCTGGTTTATGCAGGCCGTAACTGTTAATTTATGCCGGAACCGTTAAAGTTTAACACTAGGATTACAATGCTTTTGTTCATAATGGCATTATGAACAAAAGCATTGTAATCCTAGTGTTAAACTTTAACGGTTCCGGCATAAATTAACAGTTATGGCCTGCATAAACCAGCCTTTAACCGGACTTGGTGAAATTGGGCCTCAGAGATTAATGACGTCATTACATTGTCTCTGCCAATAAAAGGCTTGAATTCATAGTAAAATATAGTAATTAATTGTACCGGGTTGGGTTAACCTGTTCATTCGAAAACGCTATAAGATAGATAAAGCTCTATCTATATATAATATATCTATGATCTAACCGGATTTGGTGAAATTACCCCTAAATACATATATGACCGTGTGACGAGTACTCGTCGGAGCCAACCCCCACACGAAGAAGAAGCCCTAAATACGTCCATTATCTCAAAAGATCTTTATATTTCGCGATGGTTCGCTAATCTTGTCGATCCTTAAATTATTATTTTAATCAACAAATATTAAAAATTTTATATACGGTAATCACATAAATATTTTTTTACGGTGCTTTACAAATTTATATTCATATTATTGAAACTTATTCGTCTTTTTCTCTTTGTAGATTTTACCGTACAAGTATTAGAGCGATATTTTTAAGAAAAAATGGATAAAATAGCGACTGCGTTTAATGCACGATTGATTGTAGCAAACAAGCAACATGAACTTGCAGATAGATATAAGAAACTTAAGACTGATCAAGAACGTGTAATATTTACTTTCAATGTTATGCTCGAGTACGATATGGTTCCTAGTACAACTGGTATACCAAAAAATGCCAAAGAATCTGAGAAATTACGGGAGCAAGGCAATAAAGTTTTTATCAAAGGGACTTTCAATAACATGACATGCATTGATGCTCTAAAATTATATACGAAGAGTATAGCCTTTGCACCTTATCCATCTGAGCAGCTTGCTCTTGCCTATGCCAACAGATCAGCAGTATTATTTCAATTAGGTTTACATTTGGAATGTATTCAGGATATCGACAGAGCGCTAGCCCTAAATTATCCTGATAATCTGAGAGCAAAGCTTTATGTACGTAAAACAGAATGTTTAATAATTTTGAAAAATTGTTCTGTGGAAAACATTTTGAGGGAAGCGCAGCATTGGCTAGATAAAATGTCTTTGAATGATGTCAGTCGAGAAAAATTACGATCAAAACTTGATTTTTTACATTATAAGGCTGCACAGACAGAACAATCTGTTAAAGATAATTTGATATGCACGAAAGTGAAGAAATCTGAAAATGAATCTTTTCTCCCTATTATTGCATCCCACAATGATGAAGTTCCATGCGCATCGGATGCAGTAGCTATAAAATACAACACGCGCTATGGCAGACATGTTATTGCTACTCGTGATATTCAGCCCGGCGAAGTAATTGCTGTGGAGAAGCCTTACACATTGTTATTAACGCAACGAAATGTACAGACGCACTGTTCAAACTGCTTGGAGGTGTGCTGGACGAATATACCCTGCAACTATTGCACTTATGCTATGTATTGTTCGGAGGAATGCAGATATGCCGAATGGAAAAAATGTCATGATGTGGAATGTGCTGTCTTCCCTGCTTTGATTGAATATGAATGTTATAATCTTGATTTACTTAGCATAAGACTTATTGTGCTTGCTATAAGAGAAGCTGGTGATATAAAAAAATTAAGAACCATGCTGGAAAAACTTAATGAATGTAATGGTATTTAAAATTTCTACCCCCTTTTTTCGTTCTTAATATAACAGCGTTGTATATGACATTGTTTTAGATCCACGGACAAAGGGCTTTTCTCAAGATGGAAAATTATATAGCGATAGATATATTAGCGTGTACAGTCTTGTGACAAATACTGATAAAAGGTCTGTTTCCGATCTATTGAGGAGGTCTTTGGATACTTGCCTTATTTTGTACTTCTTAGCGACACGTACTGTGATGTTTGGTACTAAATTACCGGAAGATTTAAGCATTTTGGCGAAAAACGATGATGTTACGTTTATCGGAGGTCTCATTTTAAGACATCAACAGATAATTCCCAGCAATATTCACACTGTATGATATTGGCTAAGTATTTTAATATACATCGATTGTATGTGCATTTTTATCTACTGTTTATCTACTTTTACAAAAGTTCGATAACAGTCTTTTATTCGCTTTTTTTTAACAAGTTTTCCTTGTCAGAGTCATTTAAGTCTGATTTCAGTTCAGTGAAGAGCAAGGCTTAGAATGTGTAGAACGCGGTATAGCCGCAATGCCATTTTTGAGTTTAATTAATCATAGCTGTAATCCAAATATATTCAGGCACTCTAGACCTAAACATGTGGTGATATACGCCATGTATCCCATTCGAAAGGGCGAGCAGGTATATTAAACTGGCTTGGTAGAAATATTACCATATATGTCAATGTTATGTTTTATTACAGCTCTTTGATAATTATGGCGAACATTATGCTCTTAAACCGAGAGCAACGAGACAACAGAAGCTACTCAAACAGTATTTTTTCACCTGTGACTGTATTCCTTGTCAAGAAAACTGGCCTATGTATCATGAATTACAATCATTTAAGGTAAATAATAACGAATTAGATTAATAAGTAAAAAATAGTTGAGCTTTAATAATATCATGTTTTGTTTGTTTTCTAAATTGCAGACTTTAGTGAAGAGAGCAGAGGACAAGACTAAGATAAGAGAGGCGTTGTGGAAATTTAATACATATGTTGATTTAGCGACAGAAGACAATGTGCGAGATAAACCTTACATTATCGAAGACTTATTGAAGATGATACAAACATTGCATAATTGCGCGCCGATGCCTTGTGAGGAAATGAGTAACGTTATCGAGACATTAAAACGCGTATACGATTTGAACGGGAATAGATTTGAAATACCACAAATATGGACATATCAAAAGTAAAAACGAATTTTATTTATGTTTTTCGACTAATAAAATAATTTTATTGTTACTGTTTGATATGTGACTAATCTGTAAAAGAGATTTTATGGAGACATCTTAAGAGAGAGAGAGAGAGAGAGAGAGGGAGAAGGGGTGAGAAGGAGAGAGGGAGTGAGAGAGAGAGGGGGGGAGAAGGAGATCAATATTTTTTTGTCTATTATATAATAGATTTTCTAAGAGGAAGAGATTTATATTTTTGTTTCAGAGTTCTATTAAAAATATTTATATAGTGTTTTATATATATAACAATATTTTTTTATTACAAAAATAAAAATATATTTATATATTATTATACTAATTATATTTATTAAATCTAAGATTTTAACAAGTGTAATGTTTTTAAAATGTAATAAAATAAGTAATGTGCGTTAAGTTTGTGTTTTTCAGTTTTTTCATTATCTTCTATGTAATTCCTATAAGAAATAGGATCCTATAAGATATATGTTTTTATTCTATTAATAAGTCACAATAAATAAATCGCAAATAATATTGAAATAGAAAAAGCGACAGAGAGAAGAGCGGGAGAGGACTATGAAAGATAATATAGCATAATAAAAAGTTCGAGATATAATCTGTTTAATTATAATCATTTAGTCACAAGTTGATATTTAATCATATTAAATTAATAGCATTTCCTTTATGTCATCAATAGCCAAGTAATGATTGGTAAAAGAATTGTCATCCCAATCGGTCGGTACGTCGTCCCGAGATTATCTATGTACATTGTATCTACGTACGAAATTCTCCACTCCACGCCTGGATATACCGGACTGTGTTTATTGAAATATCGCAATATCGCTCCCGCCATAGTAATACCTGTTAAAATAAAATTTAATCGTGATAAATTTTCAATGGATATGATCGCGGGGATAAAGTAAGATAGTAAGATGAAAAAATACTATATATTCAAAACAAATATTATTAATGTTATGCGATACATAAACATACTCAGCGGGATTGTTTTAATGTTCTCCAACATATGAAAACCATCTCCGCCCTTTGCAAGGAAATCATTTATGAGGATATTATAGGTGAGATTTTGTTGGAGTTTGCTATATGTCGGTACTCGACAAGCGGCGCATTGTACTTGAACGGAAACTACCCTTGAGTTGGGTGGTCGGTTTGTGTTATATGTCACCTGTATAAATAATGCAAGTTAATCTTTGACGGAACACGAGTTGGAGTAGCTATATACTCAAAGTTTCGATATTCAAATAATTGCCAAGCGAAGAAAATGATAATGTTTATAAGATTTAACGCGACTTTTTCTAGATAAATAAAAATTTTATCTTAAAAATAAATTATGTATACCTGTAATCCCGAATATTGTAGAAAAGCGCCGAATAGATTGCCGGTGGAAGTTAAGTTGTCGAGATTATGAACGCTCCATTCTAACATCGAAAGGATCTGTTTCCCTGTTACGGAAGCCTTAACAACGACATTCCCGAAGGGCAAAACGCTTATAATATCTTTCCGGGTGACCTGTAAATGTTGCGTTTGCGAATGAAAATGAAAAGATTGTGAAAGAGAGATGCGTAATTAATTACCTGATCATTTCTCGCTCTGGTGATGGACGTTCTAATGCTGCCGCTGTTTACGATCGCGATGGCAGCATCCGTCCATCCGTCTTTGTTCAAGTATTCCCTGGCATACTGCGAGCAAAGAAAACAGGCTTATTATTAGAGAGAGAAAGAGAGAGACATCATTAAACTAATTAAAAATCTTACGTAATCAAGTATAGCGTCGCAGATTAAATTTCCCATGTTGCATTCTTGTCGTCTGCAATTCTTGCTGTCTCCGTCGATGAGTACTCGTGTCTGTCCGATGACTTTCCGTTCCAAATCATCAATGGGTCCTCTCTTATCATCTATCAATTTTAGAACATCCTTCGCCTATAGAAAACAATAACAAAAAGCATCATATATTTTGAAGCGTATATTATGTTAACGTAACATATTTTTTCATATTTCTTATATGCGTATGTAATCATTAGAGATATGTTTTTATATAGTGAATATTTTATGTATATTATACAGGGGGTAGGGCATTTAAAATATTACAAGCTATTATCTTTGAAAATACGTATTATAGCAAAAGATGTTTTAGATACAAGTTATTTGGCTTGAAGGGAGAAAAAAGATGTAGATATTGGTTTAACCTTGGGTGTAGGTGCCAAGGTCATGTGAAGGTCAACCTACGTTTTTTTAATGAAACTATCCTAACTTTTTTATATAAATCGATTCCTTGCAATATTTGGTGTAAAAAGTTATAAGAGTAGGATGGCCAAAAATTGAATAGTTTACGAGATATTTTATACCTTAATTTTATATAAACTATGAAATATCTCTCTTTTGTAATATATTCATTTTTCGGTTATCTTACTTCAATACTTTTATGCACAAAATAATGAGAGGAATCAATTCATATAAAGACAATATATAATTGTTTTGAGGAAAAAGTATAAATTTTTGTAAAGAGCAGCTGCGACGTTGACTCACATGACTTTGAAAAATGACCTTAGTTAAAATTCAAGATTATCAACTTCTTACTCCCTCAAAATCTTATAAATTTTGTTTGAATCATTTTTTTGTATGATATCAACTTTCGGAGAAAACATCTAGTAACACTTTAAATGCCTCACTTTGTGTATGTACACATTATAAAAATATATGGTAAATGTTTGGATTAACTTACACATTACGGATCGTTTTCATTTTTACATATATTGTAGAGGGTACATTCTTAAATAATATTAAGTAATACATGCTTTGAATTTTGTGGCCCTCTCTTCTGGTTCCAGAGATATGCGATTTTGAAGTATTGTAAAAATAACATTTTAAGAAAATGGGATTTAAACCTAACCTTGATCATGATCTTGATGTAGTTCAACTTTATTATAAAGTAAACGCGTGGGCGGGGAAGGGTCTCCGCTCCAAAAAAATCTAACCTAACCCAACCCATCTCCGTGAGTGAATTTTTATTATTTTAAGAAATAATTCATCCCTGGGGGATATGGATTGGATTAGGTTAGATTTCTTCGGGATGAGGGTGCAGGGAGGGGAGCGGAGGCCCTCCTCCGCCCACGCGTTCATTTAAAGATTTACTTGTTATTTTTATATACATATACTAATTAATATATAAAAGTAAAATATAGAATGGCAATAGGAACCAGCGCCGTAAGTCTAACGCAAATAAATTAAAGTGCAATTACTTGATGACCATACAGTGGATGTTTATTGATTTAGGGTCAATCAAAAAATAATTAAAAAATTTAAAATTTAAAAAATGGAAGCGGACGTTTCGGCCCTTCTTTTGGCCATCATCAGCGCACGGACTAATAATAGAATTAAAAATAAACGGAAACGCAGACCGAATCGCAAGTACCTAGTCGGTTAGACTCCAGATTCGCCGCCAGAATAGGATATGAGGCGTTTTGTATAAAGGGTATTAGACCTTTGACGCCGTCGTCGAATTCGTGGTTGCCCAAGGACTGTCAGAATTCAATCACATGTAATGTATACGACCACACACAAATCGATGTTATTTAGATATTGCAATTTGCACGACTATTTTATCCATATCTATAAATAAAGATGTAAAAAAACCGTTTTCTTTTTATTAAAACGTTGAAAAAAATGTGTTCTTTTCATTATTTTTGAAATATATATAATATTATCTCTTTCTTTATATTTTTTTAAATATTATAATAAAAAAAAACAAGTTCTTATGTTTTTACGTAATTTATTTTTCTTTGTAAGTAATTTTAATGAGACTTTTGCGGCAAATTATATCAAACACGACATGAAATAATTTTCAGTTAATGCATAATAAAAAAAAAAGTTATGCATTTAAAAATTATCCAAATTATGTTATGTTTGGTATTATTTTAACTGCAAAAATCTCATTAATCCATTAAAACCGTTTTCAAAAAGATAAAATAAAAAATAAAAAGATTAGTTTTTAGTTTATAAAATGTTTACATTTGTGAATTGCGAATGGATGAAGCCGATTGTAAGATCCTATAAGATATATGTTTTTATTCTATTAATAAGTCACAATAAATAAATCGCAAATAATATTGAAATAGAAAAAGCGACAGAGAGAAGAGCGGGAGAGGACTATGAAAGATAATATAGCATAATAAAAAGTTCGAGATATAATCTGTTTAATTATAATCATTTAGTCACAAGTTGATATTTAATCATATTAAATTAATAGCATTTCCTTTATGTCATCAATAGCCAAGTAATGATTGGTAAAAGAATTGTCATCCCAATCGGTCGGTACGTCGTCCCGAGATTATCTATGTACATTGTATCTACGTACGAAATTCTCCACTCCACGCCTGGATATACCGGACTGTGTTTATTGAAATATCGCTCCAATACATCCGCCATAGTAATACCTGTTAAAATAAAATTTAATCGTGATAAATTTTCAATGGATATGATCGCGGGGATAAAGTAAGATGATTAAATTAAAAAATACTATATATTCAAAACAAATATTATTAATGTTATGCGATACATAAACATACTCAGCGGGATTGTTTTAATGTTCTCCAACATATGAAAACCATCTCCGCCCTTTGCAAGGAAATCATTTATGAGGATATTATAGGTGAGATTTTGTTGGAGTTTGCTATATGTCGGTACTCGACAAGCGGCGCATTGTACTTGAACGGAAACTACCCTTGAGTTGGGTGGTCGGTTTGTGTTATATGTCACCTGTATAAATAATGCAAGTTAATCTTTGACGGAACACGAGTTGGAGTAGCTATATACTCAAAGTTTCGATATTCAAATAATTGCCAAGCGAAGAAAATGATAATGTTTATAAGATTTAACGCGACTTTTTCTAGATAAATAAAAATTTTATCTTAAAAATAAATTATGTATACCTGTAATCCCGAATATTGTAGAAAAGCGCCGAATAGATTGCCGGTGGAAGTTAAGTTGTCGAGATTATGAACGCTCCATTCTAACATCGAAAGGATCTGTTTCCCTGTTACGGAAGCCTTAACAACGACATTCCCGAAGGGCAAAACGCTTATAATATCTTTCCGGGTGACCTGTAAATGTTGCGTTTGCGAATGAAAATGAAAAGATTGTGAAAGAGAGATGCGTAATTAATTACCTGATCATTTCTCGCTCTGGTGATGGACGTTCTAATGCTGCCGCTGTTTACGATCGCGATGGCAGCATCCGTCCATCCGTCTTTGTTCAAGTATTCCCTGGCATACTGCGAGCAAAGAAAACAGGCTTATTATTAGAGAGAGAAAGAGAGAGACATCATTAAACTAATTAAAAATCTTACGTAATCAAGTATAGCGTCGCAGATTAAATTTCCCATGTTGCATTCTTGTCGTCTGCAATTCTTGCTGTCTCCGTCGATGAGTACTCGTGTCTGTCCGATGACTTTCCGTTCCAAATCATCAATGGGTCCTCTCTTATCATCTATCAATTTTAGAACATCCTTCGCCTATAGAAAACAATAACAAAAAGCATCATATATTTTGAAGCGTATATTATGTTAACGTAACATATTTTTTCATATTTCTTATATGCGTATGTAATCATTAGAGATATGTTTTTATATAGTGAATATTTTATGTATATTATACAGGGGGTAGGGCATTTAAAATATTACAAGCTATTATCTTTGAAAATACGTATTATAGCAAAAGATGTTTTAGATACAAGTTATTTGGCTTGAAGGGAGAAAAAAGATGTAGATATTGGTTTAACCTTGGGTGTAGGTGCCAAGGTCATGTGAAGGTCAACCTACGTTTTTTTAATGAAACTATCCTAACTTTTTTATATAAATCGATTCCTTGCAATATTTGGTGTAAAAAGTTATAAGAGTAGGATGGCCAAAAATTGAATAGTTTACGAGATATTTTATACCTTAATTTTATATAAACTATGAAATATCTCTCTTTTGTAATATATTCATTTTTCGGTTATCTTACTTCAATACTTTTATGCACAAAATAATGAGAGGAATCAATTCATATAAAGACAATATATAATTGTTTTGAGGAAAAAGTATAAATTTTTGTAAAGAGCAGCTGCGACGTTGACTCACATGACTTTGAAAAATGACCTTAGTTAAAATTCAAGATTATCAACTTCTTACTCCCTCAAAATCTTATAAATTTTGTTTGAATCATTTTTTTGTATGATATCAACTTTCGGAGAAAACATCTAGTAACACTTTAAATGCCTCACTTTGTGTATGTACACATTATAAAAATATATGGTAAATGTTTGGATTAACTTACACATTACGGATCGTTTTCATTTTTACATATATTGTAGAGGGTACATTCTTAAATAATATTAAGTAATACATGCTTTGAATTTTGTGGCCCTCTCTTCTGGTTCCAGAGATATGCGATTTTGAAGTATTGTAAAAATAACATTTTAAGAAAATGGGATTTAAACCTAACCTTGATCATGATCTTGATGTAGTTCAACTTTATTATAAAGTAAACGCGTGGGCGGGGAAGGGTCTCCGCTCCAAAAAAATCTAACCTAACCCAACCCATCTCCGTGAGTGAATTTTTATTATTTTAAGAAATAATTCATCCCTGGGGGATATGGATTGGATTAGGTTAGATTTCTTCGGGATGAGGGTGCAGGGAGGGGAGCGGAGGCCCTCCTCCGCCCACGCGTTCATTTAAAGATTTACTTGTTATTTTTATATACATATACTAATTAATATATAAAAGTAAAATATAGAATGGCAATAGGAACCAGCGCCGTAAGTCTAACGCAAATAAATTAAAGTGCAATTACTTGATGACCATACAGTGGATGTTTATTGATTTAGGGTCAATCAAAAAATAATTAAAAAATTTAAAATTTAAAAAATGGAAGCGGACGTTTCGGCCCTTCTTTTGGCCATCATCAGCGCACGGACTAATAATAGAATTAAAAATAAACGGAAACGCAGACCGAATCGCAAGTACCTAGTCGGTTAGACGACTGTCAGAATTCAATCACATGTAATGTATACGACCACACACAAATCGATGTTATTTAGATATTGCAATTTGCACGACTATTTTATCCATATCTATAAATAAAGATGTAAAAAAACCGTTTTCTTTTTATTAAAACGTTGAAAAAAATGTGTTCTTTTCATTATTTTTGAAATATATATAATATTATCTCTTTCTTTATATTTTTTTAAATATTATAATAAAAAAAAACAAGTTCTTATGTTTTTACGTAATTTATTTTTCTTTGTAAGTAATTTTAATGAGACTTTTGCGGCAAATTATATCAAACACGACATGAAATAATTTTCAGTTAATGCATAATAAAAAAAAAAGTTATGCATTTAAAAATTATCCAAATTATGTTATGTTTGGTATTATTTTAACTGCAAAAATCTCATTAATCCATTAAAACCGTTTTCAAAAAGATAAAATAAAAAATAAAAAGATTAGTTTTTAGTTTATAAAATGTTTACATTTGTGAATTGCGAATGGATGAAGCCGATTGTAAGAGATTTCGGTACTCTTTAATGATAGTAAAGATGTTAAAAATATATACATGAGAAAAAAAAACAAAATTAAAAAAAATGACTTGTTTTTTTTCACAAAAAACTACTTCTCATGAAAAAAAAATTTAGTTTTTTTTCTATTTACATCTTTACCTATAGACGCTATTTGCATATATTTATATATAACTCATCTATATACATAGAATGAGTTGTGCAGTTTTTGCAGATCAATAAACAAACTGAGAAATTCATATTTTTCGAAAGTGAAACGCAGTTGATATTTACTATTGCGTCTGGCTGTAAGAGATTCATGAACCAAGCCACCGCTTCCCACTTGTATACGTTGTACCAGGCGGTCCCTTGATAAGTGTCGCCGGCATTTAGAAAGATCGTCGACGACGATTTCGATTTCGCTTGGCGGACTAAAGTCGCGATTCTGGCAAAACCTCCGTAACACTTCCTGGCAGCGGAGTCCTGCGGCGTACACGTTGTCGATAATTGCGACGTCTCTTCGAATCTAAGAATGTTCCGCAGCAAAGTCTTAATTTCAGACGGTGCAGACTACGATTTAAATACATAAATTACGACTTTGGAAGAACGAAGAAATTCTCTCCTCAAATTACGTTCGTGTGTAAAAACACACGCGCGGATATTTAATTAGCATATGGGTGCGGGATATAATTAACTGCCTTAACATTCGTGATTAGCGTAGTGGCGGTAATTATTGGTAGCGTGACGCAAAATTACACAAAATTGTAATGTATGTGTGTGAGATGTATAAAGAATAAATATTATATGAGTCTTTTATAGAAGTCAAACTGATTATAACTCCGCTAATAAATCATGTGTTCTAATATCAAAATTAAAAAACATATGTTAGAAGTATGAAGAGTAAATATTATATAAATCTCTTATATAGAGATCAATTTGATCAACTCTGTTAATATATCACGTGTTCTAATATCAAAATTAAGAAATTTATTAAAAAAGTGGAGTTGATCGGTTTGACTTCTCAGAAACTCATATATATACGTAAATAATGTTTAATTTGTTTAAATAATATAGAATTAATTTTTTGCAACACAATCACAAGTTTGCATTATAAAAAAGTGGAATTGATCGGTTTGGCTTATAAGAGACTCATTTATGCCTAAATAATGTTTATTTTATTTAAATAATATAGAATTAATTTCTTGTAATACAATCAGTTTTGCATTATCAAGTTTTTAATATAAAAAAAGAAAGAGAGAGATAGGGATATTTTAAATAATATTTTTTTCTAAGAGAAAAGAATGACCTACCTCGCATGCATGTCATTCGTGTGAACGATTCCGATAGTAAATTCTTCATCCTTTCGTAAAGTGGGGTTTGCATAAGTTTCGCTTGCGAGTATCAGCAACGCGATAATGCAACAGTTTATGAGCAAAGCAATCGACATCTTTGATTATCACTAATTCTACGTCTTGTTTTGACTTTTGATTGTGCTTCTTTACAATCTCTTCTTTGTGTCTCGCTTATCTTCTTATTTTTAGTGCCGATAAGGCGCGTTCTGGTTGCATATGGCCAATTATAATGTCGCCTCGGTTTTTCTCATATTAGTCAAATCATTCTACTGCATTTCCCGACATGAAATGTCTCTCTGAAAGAACACTACATTTTTATTTGAGATTTAATTTACATTATAATACAATTTTTTAAAATATTTTTAGTATCTAATAATTGTGCACGAATATACAGTGTTTCCTAAATAAGTACACAAACTTGAAGGGGATATTCCTTGGCTTATTTTAAGAAGAAAATATCCTATAAACATGTGTCCTAAACTGCTTCGTTTTCAAAATACAGGGTATCAAAGTTATGCAACAAAAAAATGAAGATTTCGAAAATGTGGAAAACATTTAAAGATATTTTATTCAAATTTGGTATGCGTGGAATTAATGTGATATTTGAAAAGCCTTACTTTTTATTAGAGAACAGTTTGTGTTATTACAAACGAAAAAAATGGAAAACAATAGTAACTAAAAAGTATGTATGTAATAATATATGTAATGTATGTAATAATAAAAAAAATGTAATAATATGTAATAAAATCACATTAATACCACGCATACCAAATTTGAAAAAAAATTTGAATAAAATATCTAAATGTTTTCCACATTTTCGAAATTTTCATTTTCTTTGCACAACTTTGACACCTTGTATTTTGAAAACAAAGCAATTTAGGATACATGTTTATAGGGCCTTTTCTTCTTAAAAAAAGCCTTTTCTTCTTAAAATAAGCCAAGGAATATCCCCTTCAAGTTTGTGTACTTATTTAGGATCTTACTTCAATACTTTTATGCACAAAATAATGAGAGGAATCAATTCATATAAAGACAATATATAATTGTTTTGAGGAAAAAGTATAAATTTTTGTAAAGAGCAGCTGCGACGTTGACTCACATGACTTTGAAAAATGACCTTAGTTAAAATTCAAGATTATCAACTTCTTACTCCCTCAAAATCTTATAAATTTTGTTTGAATCATTTTTTTGTATGATATCAACTTTCGGAGAAAACATCTAGTAACACTTTAAATGCCTCACTTTGTGTATGTACACATTATAAAAATATATGGTAAATGTTTGGATTAACTTACACATTACGGATCGTTTTCATTTTTACATATATTGTAGAGGGTACATTCTTAAATAATATTAAGTAATACATGCTTTGAATTTTGTGGCCCTCTCTTCTGGTTCCAGAGATATGCGATTTTGAAGTATTGTAAAAATAACATTTTAAGAAAATGGGATTTAAACCTAACCTTGATCATGATCTTGATGTAGTTCAACTTTATTATAAAGTAAACGCGTGGGCGGGGAAGGGTCTCCGCTCCAAAAAAATCTAACCTAACCCAACCCATCTCCGTGAGTGAATTTTTATTATTTTAAGAAATAATTCATCCCTGGGGGATATGGATTGGATTAGGTTAGATTTCTTCGGGATGAGGGTGCAGGGAGGGGAGCGGAGGCCCTCCTCCGCCCACGCGTTCATTTAAAGATTTACTTGTTATTTTTATATACATATACTAATTAATATATAAAAGTAAAATATAGAATGGCAATAGGAACCAGCGCCGTAAGTCTAACGCAAATAAATTAAAGTGCAATTACTTGATGACCATACAGTGGATGTTTATTGATTTAGGGTCAATCAAAAAATAATTAAAAAATTTAAAATTTAAAAAATGGAAGCGGACGTTTCGGCCCTTCTTTTGGCCATCATCAGCGCTTTGACACCTTGTATTTTGAAAACAAAGCAATTTAGGATACATGTTTATAGGGCCTTTTCTTCTTAAAAAAAGCCTTTTCTTCTTAAAATAAGCCAAGAAATATTCCCTTCAAGTTTATGTACTTACTTAGGAAACACCCTGTATAGAATGAGAGAGAAATTATATAGTATTTTAAACAGCAGAAATATATATAGACTTTTATTTGCATTTTCTACATTTACAGAGTACGAGAACCTGCGTCCATCTGGTTACTACGATTATTACGAAATTTATACCGAGATTTGCCAAGAATTTCAAGGATTTGCAACATCGCGTTCGAGAAACTGTCGTGTCTTTCAAGCAAAAATCAATTCGATTTGATAACTGTCTAATTTGTCGAGAGAGATGATAGTAATGAGAATTTTTCTTCCTCGTCTTTTAACATAACGAAATATTCTTCTCCATCAGAAAGAATTTGTTATCTAAATACTTTAGCAATGCAGTTTCCAAATTTCTTTTTTGATAAGAGTGAAAGCAGATATGATCTATTGAGGGACGCCCGTATTAACAAGATTATGTCTTTAAATACTTTATATATATAATAATACTTTTATATAATAAACACACACACACACACACACACACACACATCTCTGTGTGTAATATCTTTAATTTGCTATAAGCAACGGCGTTCGGTGACAGATTGAGTAACACCGCATGTAAATGAAAATGAACAATGACATGTGACCACGCAAATTATTATGCGCCAAGCAACATTCCGCATTTATATGCGCACCACGTGCAATGCAAGGCGACTTTCGCGAAAGCGGGAGGTAAAATCGCGTTTTCCAAGCCGAATTCCGAGGATTGAACCGTCACCTTCGTTAATTTTCCTAAATAATGTGCGTGCTCTTAGTCGTGTATTTCAAATATTTTTTATTATTAATTTTATTATATTTATTATTTTTTTTTATTATTAATTTTTATTTCTTTTTTTCCCGAAGGAGAAGAAAAAGAAGCAAACGCACCAAGGACCAAAACGCGCACCGACAACTGTCACTTTAGTTTCTTTCGGACGTTTCGGCCCTTCTTTTGGCCATCATCAGCGCACGGACTAATAATAGAATTAAAAATAAACGGAAACGCAGACCGAATCGCAAGTACCTAGTCGGTTAGACTAAATGTCAAAACTTTTTTGACAAAATGTCAAAAAATTGTACGGCAAAGATCTCTCACGTCATCATGATAAATATCCCAAATTTGCATCTAACAGACTAGGTACTTGCGATTCGGTCTGCGTTTCCGTTTATTTTTAATTCTATTATTAGTCCGTGCGCTGATGATGGCCAAAAGAAGGGCCGAAACGTCCGAAAGAAAAATAAGGAGAAGAAAAAGAAGCAAACGCACCAAGGACCAAAACGCGCACCGACAACTGTCACTTTAGTTACGAAAAATGCTTGTAAACACCGATATAATCACATACGAGTATATACAAGAGTATACTCGAAAGTACACGAGATTATACTGATCGCTCTTCCACTAGGTACTTGCGATTCGGTCTGCGTTTCCGTTTATTTTTAATTATATTATTAGTCCGTACGCTGATGATGGCCAAAAGAAGGGCCGAAACGTCCGAAAGAAAAATATTACAAAACAAAACAGTATACAATTTTATATCTTATTAAATCATATCAACAACTAAATAAATAAAAAAAAAATTCTTAATGAAACTAAACAGTAATTCAGAAGTGTACAGAAGTGTATAGAAGACAGTGACGCAATAACGACCAAATATAAACAAAAAAATATAAACACGCAAGTAGGATATAATGAAAAAATTATACAAATACGAAATTTATGATTCAAAATCGCATATCTCTAGAATCAGAAGAGAGCGCCACAAGATTCAAAGCGTGTATTGCTTAGGAATATATACAATATAAGTAAAAATGAAAACAATTCGTGATGTATAAGTTAATCCGAACATTTACCAAATATATACAGGGTGTTAAATTTCAAACGTAACAAGTGGAATATCTCGTAAACAATACATTTTAGAAAAAAATGTTTCAGACAAAAGTTGTATGGTTTCGAGTGGGACATAAGGTGGTGTCATTAATTTGACCTTGAGTAGTTGCTTGAAGGTCACGTGAAGGTCACCTTCAATTTTTTAAATGGAATCACCTACTTTTTATTGCATATTTTTGTAGCTTATCTCGAGAGCTTTTCAAAACACTATAAAGTATTTTTTCATTAAGTACTTTTACAAATCAATTAGTGTAAAGAGAAAAACAAATAATTGTTTTAAAAAATACATTGTAAATAATTACATACTTTTTCTTAAAAACAATTATTTTTTTTATACTAATTGGTTTGTCCCATTATTCTGAACATAAAAGTATTACGGTAAGATTATCGAAAACTAAAAATTTTACGAGATATTTTAATTTATATATCAAAATATGTCAGATTAAAATATAAAATAACTCAAAAAGTACTTAAT